TTGTCACCGCTTACTAATCTATTGACTAATCAGAATCGTCAGGGTTTCCATAAACAGTCTTAGAAGAAGAAAATTGCCTTATAAAGCTTTCCAGTTGACTCTGGGTTTTGATAAACAATTGAGGCCAAAAAAAAAAAAAAAGTGGTATTAGTGGTATTACAAGTATTAGAAAGCCAATACAGGGAAAGACGCTGCTGCTTGCTGACCCGTGGTGTCCCTGGCGCGGGGCGTGGGGCATGTACGGAGCGCTGCCTGGCCGTTTACCACCTGAGCTCTAAGAAGGAAGGATGCACGGACATTTTCAGAAGACTTGTATTGATTTTCTGCTACTTTTGTGTGATAGAACCTCTAGTTAATTTAGGGAAAATCGAATTGAAAAAGGAGAACAGTAAAGCCATTTCAGCTTGTTTTCATAGCCTGCCTAGCCCAAGATACTCTAAACCAGGTATGCCGACGGCAGCACGACACACACCGTTAGGCAACGGTTAGCAGTGGGAAGCGGCCTTCCATGTGACCCTTCCGTGACTTCCTAGGGATGACTACGGGGTGACTTTACGAGGTTAAAAATGGGGTGGGGTGGGGAGGAGAGTCATGTTTATTTACATTTGATGCAAACTTGAGTAACTCTTCCAAGATCCTACAGCAAATCCCGTTAAGGGCTAGAACTAGAAAGAATCCCTAAATCCTATAAGGCAAATCCACCGCTCTCCCCACCGGCACACAGCAGCGCCATGCCCCTGTGAGCACGACGCCTTCTCCCCTCTTCCCACATGCGAGAGGCTGCAGAGATTCACGATTATGGGTGAATCTGCCGGCGCCCACCAGTATGCACACAGTACTCCATTCTCAAGGGGAGGATTCTGAGGTGAACAGGCTTTTAAAAAGCTTCAGTCTGGAAGAGCCGGACGTACACACAAATAAATACACTGCATATTCCCGCTGGGTTTATGCCTTTGTATTCCTCTTGTCCCACTGTATCTATCCAAACCTTTTATTTGACATATAAGGAAAATGAAACTCAGAGAGTCTTGACCGACACAGCTAATTAGTGGCAAAGCTGAAATCTTGACCAGGCAGACTGACTTTTAGTTTCTACGATTCATGCTAGCTCCTCCTAGATTCCATTTATTTTCTCATTTTAGACATCCTGTGATAAAGCTGCGAAGATAAGAGAACTCTGATGAACGCGCACTGAAGCTAAGCACACTGGGAAATACGTAAGCTTAGGCCGGAGCAAAGCCTGCGATGCGGACCCGGAGGGAGCAAAGTGTAGTTCTGCGCCTTGAAATCTCTGCTTTTCCTAAGTACCCGTATTCTTTCCCTGGAGTGATTTCGGGCTCTAAAATAGCCAAATTGAGTGGTGAGTATCAGTCAAGTGGTACAGGGGCTTCATTCAAAGTAGCTCTTAAAAGTGTTTTCTAGAAGTGCTAGTGAAAGGAGGAGCATAGCATACTGGACAATTCTCCAGAAGAGGGGAAATGGAAATAAAGGTATGGTTACAGGATCAGCAGTTGTTCACGTATCTTTAAAAATATTTGTATACCTGCACTGTGGGAAATTAATTTCTAAACATAAATTCATTACTTATGTAAAAGCCTCAGGGAAATGGACATGTTTTAGAGAAACGGTGGGGAAGAGGGCTAGCGGTTGAAATTGACTCCAAATTCTAGAAAGGGAGAAATGCCAGGCTAAGGAATTGTTACTTTAAGCCAGGGGTCTGCTGACCGTGGCTCACAGGCCCAACCTGGCCCACTGCGTGTTCTGTGAACGAAGCTTGCTAGGGCACCTGCATGCCCGTTTGTTCGGATGTTGTCTCAGAGCGCTCTTTGCACCGTAAGGACGGACTGGAGTCATTTCAACAGAGACCATATGGCCCCCAGAGCCCTTCACATACGACCCCTTACAGAGAAGGCTGGGCACTATCACAGACGGTATTGAAGGGCCGCTCCCGGGGGAGGGAGTGCAGCGATGGGCACTATGGGAAGCTTACTCTGGCAGGGCGGGTGTAGGACAGGCTGCAGCAGGGAGAGCTCCAAGCCCCTGCAGTGTCCGCTATAATGCCACCAGAGCCTAAGGTAAGGTGGTAACCATGGAAACTGGGAAACAAGGGCAGGATCCAGAGACATTCCAAAGAAAGATTGAATGTGATATGCGGTCCCATAAACGTAGAGCAGGAGAGGCTCTGAGCCTGGGATACTAGATGCATGTTTATGACGGAACTGGAGGAAGAAGAGCTGGCCTGGGGCGAGCTTCTGAGTTTAGTTTTAGGTGTACTGAGCTTAGATATACCTGGTTCCCTAAGTGTGTGGAAATGCCCCCTGATGGTTGGCATTGTGGGGAGAGGTCAGTGATATGGTCAGTTGCAATGTAGCTGGTAAAGGTGCGTCACAGTAATTTAGGCAGGTCTTAAAAAATTATACATGTCTGATGCAAACTGTGATTAAACGTGGCCCATGATGGCCTTCCAGAGAGACAGGCCCTTCTTAACGTCCCATGAACGACTCTCTGGGGGGGCAGGCTGGGGGACAGCCAGATTCTTTTCCAGAGACCAAAGCCTGTGCTCTGTGTGTTCAAGACCTCTTCCTGCCGTCTCCCTCCTTAGCGCTTTCTCTCTGTGCAGCGCGCGCCAGGCACGCAGACCTAAAGGGGCACGCTGGGCGCTCAGCAGCCCTGTGCACAGACTACAGGCGCTGCGCCTGTGTAAGCCCCACTCCTGCTCACTGTGGTTCACCAGGGATCAACTCGTAGGTCAGGCTGCTAATAGGGTTTCAGTTCCACTTCGCAGCTCAACCCTGATTCTCACTACTTCCAGCCAAGGGTCAGCATTTATGTTTCTCCTCTCAGTTGCTTTGCTCCTGGAACAAGTCAAGTTCTTTTCTGCTTGGGCCACTGGAACTTGATAAGGGATCTGTTCTTTCCACAACTCCTTGAATCCTGACTCAGCAATTTGCATGGATTCTCCCCCAGAATTTTCTGGAATATTCCTGGAGAGGAAAGAGTTGCTACTGCTTTGCTTTTTCATGAACTTTCTCCCTTCCAATGGTTCTTCAAACTTTCCTGGGCCCAACTTCCTAGGGGTCCTTTTACTCTTTCTCTCGTTTCATCCTCTCATTTGTGCCAATAATTCTTAAGTTGCTTTGTTTGCCTCTGAATCTGGTCTCCAGATCTAGTTCTTCCAACCCCACTCACAGGTTACCTCACTCCTCTCTTCCAGGTAAACCTTTGCAGAAATTTGCACAAACATCTGTAAAGGTCAGCCTGCCTACAATCTGTTTAAATGTTGGCCGGCCCCTCTACAGATGGAGGAGTTGGGGAGTGGGACTAGTATTCCGTCTTCCAGTATTTCAGCTCCTAGCAGGGTTATTGTAATCACAGCATCAACCTTAAAAGTTACTTTGTTGTTTAAAAAAGGTTGGCTTGTAATTTATTAAAATAATTGTCAGTGTTTTCCTACCGATTAAGTAAGTGCAAAGTTGATCATTGTATATTTTGTGTGTCACTCCTCTGCAACATGCTTGTTGATGGCCTGCGGCTGGCTGCTCTGGGGAGGGGAGGGACGGGGAGCGGCCTCACCCCGTTCCTTGGCCAGCCGGCCGCTCCTCAGCTCTGACCTGTGCTCGCTCACCCTCGACTTCTCCACCAAGCCCCCAGGCTGGGCATCCTTGATGGGGTTTCTGTTTACATCCATCCAAAATGTCTTGACAAGTCATTTCTATTGTTAAGAACACACCAAGTTCATAGAACTGCTTTAAAAAATGGAAGCAATGAATTCTTTATGCAATAACAGGGTCCGAATCTCATTATTAACATCTTGCAATTCCACCGTTTCAGGCTTGTGTTTCAAAGCAGCATGACTTATGAAAAGCCTTGTTGTCCTGGTGAAGCTGACCAGACTTGCTTAATCTTAGATAGCTTTCAGTGAAAATTATATATGAAAATATGAAAAAATACAAACAAAAATTTAAAACATTTCTCCCCCAGTGATGCTCACATGAAAAATGCACGCTACTTTTATACCTTTTTTCCCCACATTAAAATTGACTTAAAATGCTCATTCTTTTGGAAAGATCAAGATATGTCCTTTTAAAGAGAGAGAGTAGAAAGGAATATGGAAATTTTTTTAAAGCTTTCTCTATTAAATCTGAAGTGGTGGGAATGCAATTACTTTATTTTTCTTTCATTAATATTTGTTATTAAAAAGTAACAAATGAAAAATAAAAACCATGTTTTGATAATAATGTAAAACTCGCCCCTGACGTCGTATTTTTCTTTAATATATGGTTGTATGAGCTACACATGGACAGTCGGTGACAAATCTAATGGATTTAGTTGCTGGAACTCGACTTGTCCCTGATCAGTAGTCTGTTAACGAAAGTTTATAACTGAAAAGGTTTCCAAACGGCAGCAGCTAAAAAACACGAAGAGCTGGCAATTTTTTTGTCAGTTCCACCCAAGCCCAGCCGTCGGCCCGCCAGGCTCCGGCCAGTCCTCCTCGGAAATGCCCTGCGCCGCACCCCGGGGACAGCGCCGCCCGGCCGGGCGCTCTCCTCCCGCAGGGGGCACGGCGCGCGCTCTCTCCTTCCAGCGACACGACCACGGTCACACGCAGCGTAAGAAACCACCCCCGCCGGCCCCCTCGGAGCAGCCCGAAGACCACGGTCAAGGTCACTGGGCCCCGACGGACAGCGCTCGCCCGGCCTCTGCGGCTTCGCGGCCTCCCCGCGCTCGCGGGCGCGTGTGCGCGTGCGCGCGTGCGCGGTCCCGGCTTTCCTCCCTCGGCAGCCCCGCCCACCCCAGGCCCCGTGCAGCGGCCCCCTTGGCCACGCGACCCCCGTTCCGCCGTCCGCCAGCTCGGGCCCGGCGAGCGAAAAGAGACCGCGAACCGGCTCCTCACCGCCCGGACTGGACAGGGACGGCGCCTCCCCTCGGGGCGGCACCTTCGGCCCGAGGGGCGGGGCCAGAGGACGGGGGCGGGGCAAAGGGGGCGGGGTCTGCGCTAACGGGCTCTGAGGGGTCGTCGCGCCCTGGGCCGAGCGCGCTGAGGAGAAGCGGCGTTGTTGGCCTCCGCGCGGCGGGCCGCTGTCCAGGCGCGAGGAGCGGCCGGGTGTGGGGCGCCCCCGGGAGCAGCGCGAGCCGAGGCTCAGGTGACGTCCGCGCCCTGAGGCGGTGGGTCCCGCGCGGCTGAGGGCGGGGCTCGGGCTGCCCGCGGGGCGGCGCGGCAGTGGCGAAGGCGCGGCCCGAGAGCAGCCGCCCGCGGGCGGCCCCGCCGGAGTTCCCCGCCGCCGCTGGAGCGCGCGTGCGGGTCCCCGCAGCGCGGCCCGGCCCCTCGGGGCCCCGGGGAGGGCGCGGGGAGTGAGCCCGCGGGGCCCGCGGTGTGCCGGGCGGTCGCAGCAGGCGCCCGCGAGGTGGCAGGCGGAGGGCGGCTGCGCTTCGCTGCGAGGCGGGCGCTTTCCTCCGACTCCGCAGGCGGCGTTTAGTTGGAAGCCGTGAGCTGCCGGGCAGGTGGCGGACGGACGGGCGCCGTGTCCCGCGCCGGGCAGCGCCGCCCGCCGGGCCCTGAGGAGATGCCCCGGCCCGAGCCGGCCCGCGGGGCCCCTGCGTGGGTTCACGCGGACCTGAGGCGGGGTCGGCGGGTGCCCCTCCGCCCGAGGTGGGGGGTCGGGGGCTCTGCTCGTCCGGAGGGTGGGGCGCGGCCGTGTCCGCCGCAGATGGCCGGGGGTCGGGAGGGCCGGCGGGGGCCCGAGGCGCCGGGGAGCCTGCCCGGGGGAGCGCGAGGGGTCCCGTGCGAGGCAAGGAGAGCGCCGTCGGGCAGAGGCGCCGAGGGGGGGGCGCCCCGGGCTCCAGCCCCGCGCCGGCACGCAGGCCCCCGGGAGCAGAGCCCGCGGCCCCAGCAGGGCTTTCCCCGGGGGCGGCGCCGCAGGGACGGGCCGGGGGCCGGACCCGCCTGGGTTCAGGGACCCCAGCGAGGAGCGCCCCGAGGGGGGCTGGCCACATCGGACGGGGCGCTGGGCCAGACGGGAGGTCGCCCGCCAAAGCAGGGGAGGGCCCAGCGCGCAGGAGGGGACCTGGGGGGGGGCCTAGATGGTGAGCTGGGCAGACCGCCGCGGCAAACCCGGTGCCCGTCACTTCGCGCCCTCCTCACGGCGGGTATCCGCAGCTGACCGCCCGCTGCCGCCACGGTCCCCGAAACGGCTGGTCCCACCACCGCCCCTCCGTTCTTCCATCCTCGGAAGGACCCGAGTCGGCGGCCTCGGGGCACACACGGCCGCCCCCGCACGCGGCTGCGGGGCTCCTGCTTGGCCGACCAACTCCCAGCCCTACCGCGGCCCCGATGCAGGGCCAGACGGACACACGCCAGACGCAGCCCGCGCGAGGTGAATGCACGAAGTAGGCGCGAGCCAGGCCGTGAGGGGCTCCGAGTGAGCAGTGACTGCGCGCCGCTGGAGAGGGAGGAAGAGATTCATTTGAAATACACTTGGGAAGTGGAAGCGGTGGGTTGCTCATAAATGGTGTGATCTCTGTATCACCATATTGAGCTCCTCATTCCGTGTTAATTTGTATTTCTCAAAATGTCCCAGTAGAAAAGCAAGTTGTCATTTTTGTGTGTGTGTGTGGCAAGACACTGAAGTACATGACCGTATATTTTAAATAGTAGTAGAAACTGAGGGAACTTCAAAGAGTTCATGTAACATCACAAGTCAGTGACCAAACCACCAAGAGATGTTAAGGAATAAAATGGGGAACTCATTTAGTGGGTGGACAGGTTGTGTGTTTACACAAAACCCAACTACTGAAAAGGTCATGTTCTAACCTCAAGTGTCTGGTAATCAACAGGCTCTCAATAAATGTTTGAGTGGGTGGATGAATGAATGAATCAGTCAGTGATGGTTTGGCAAGTATTTCAGAGACTAAAATTGCAGAGTGAGCCAGATGAGATCAGGCCAAACTTTGAGTGAAAAACTTAACAGTTTAAGAAGAACAGTTGTTTCTTCTGGCACAGAAGGCCTCAGATGCAGAAACCGCAGCACTGGATAGGAATGAAAAGCACTGGTTTCATCTTTTGAGAGTTGCAGATGTCTATGCACTTTATATACATCGTTTCAGATTCTCACAACAGTCCTGAAGTGAATAAGTCCATATTTTATGGATGAAGAGAGTAAAGCTCAGTAATGTCCAAACCCTCCACCATAAACGAGTGGTGCTGGAATTCAAAATCCTATTTGACTGACTGTACAGGCTCCCTGAAACACGTGTTACGGGACACGTCCTGAGAGCGAAGCCTCTCACAAATAGAGGCCATGTGTTATAAAGTGAAGTCTAGTAAATAAATCATCTAGTTTGGTGTAGCTGACAACTGTTACTACACTAAACATTTTTAGTGATGATATTGAGGGACAAGACAACATTTCACTCATTTGGTATTTACTGAGTGGTTTTTATGTGTAATACAGGAAAAAAAAGCATTGAAATACAGAAAAATATAAGACTCCATCTCTGCCCTCATGGAGCTTACCATCCAGATACAAGGTTAAAATCATGACCTGTCCCCACACAGTGTAACAAAATCATGGTTTGAAGTATTTACAATAGAGTTTTGCCATATTTTCAAAAGTTGGCTCTATGCTAATATTTAAATCTGCAGATATCCCATTGAATCATCTCTCATCTGAAACTCTAAATTTACAGGGTGTACAAAAATTTCTAAATTATATACATCTTTGGAAAGTGAAAGTTAAAAATTGAAACCTAACTATACCATTAAAAATTATAAAAAGACATTTGAACCATGTTTTTTGCAGGTTGAATGTGTATTAATTTACATTTTACTGTTATAATAAAACCTTTCTCAAAAGAATGAGTAAAATATCCAGTGCTTTCCTAAATAAATTCTTTTTTTTAATCTTGGAATTTTTCATGGTTTATTTCAGTTATTTAGTTTATCCATCTAAATTACGTTTTCTACAATGCAGGTAAAAGAATGGCAAACTCCTTTGCATCGAAGACCTTCACTGCACTTTCAGAGCTGCATCCAAATATGGCTAATCTAGTAGGTTTCAGTTATGCAGTGGTGGGGTGGCTCTCTAATGAAACTATGTGGTCATGTTACGCTGTGTCAATGCTGTCTGTGCATTTGACACATGATTGTATGATTGATAAGTGTAGAGATACTCATTGCATTAGTATACTGTTAGATATTAAGTACCTTTAAACTTCTGTGATTTTTATGCCAGCTAAATGGAAATTGGTCTTTACTTTGTCTATAGTCAATTGTAGATATGACTATCGATTGTTTAAAATAATCAAAAGTTACTTTGTATTACTTTAATTAAATATTAAATAACAGCTCAAAATTAGCATTGTAAAATCAAAACATTTTTGTTGAGCATTGTCTATCCTCTAATAAAAATTTCCAAGTTATAGTGTTAAATTCCTGTCATTATGCTAATTTTATGATATAAAGGTACACAATAGGTGTATTTCTGAAGTGACCATGTGAATATTCAGTTTTGGGGAGGGGTTGTGTGGGAATTCAATCATTTCAGATACACCAAGACTGCTATTTATTTAAAAGAAGTCAAGCTGAAATTATAAGGTGAAGAACTGACTGTAGAGCAGTTACCATGTACCCCTGAAGCAGTCTGCTATTACATTTGGCATTTGTGAATCAGACTTCTTATAAATTTACATGTAACTTTAATAATTTGCAATGGAAATGTTAGTCATGATAAAAGTAATTATTGCGTTATTGTTTTTCTTGAAAGGAAAACTGTTTGCTATTTGCCTCTTGAGTTAGAAAGTTTTGCTCAGTGTTTCCATTAGTGGTGTTTTCCCAACAAAATTCAGTGAGATCTTCATGTATGTGGAATTTAAGAAATGGTAGCAGTATGCCTAAATGTAATGAGACATTAGGACTCATTACATGTAGGCCAATAGCTCAGCTAGGACTCAGTAGTTTTAAAACCTTGAGCATATTTTAAATATAACAGATTATTGCAAGGTTAAAATCAGTTGCTAGAATTAGTAGTATAAGTTTTGGGTTATCCTTTCAGAAAAAGGTAGTTTCTTAAAGCACTTTTTTAATATTTAATTTTTCTTTGGTGGTCACTAAAAAGAACGTTAAAATTTTAAGACAATGTTAATATATTTAAGGTTTGAGAGCTAGGACTTTAGAGCTTAGATTTATTAGCAACAATATACAAGTTTTGTTACAATCTAATTTGTATTACTGTCCAACATGTTTGGATTAAGAAACTAGGAAATTTTATGTGGATTGTTAGAAAACCCTATGTAAAAGAAAGCTTTGAAGACCATGGCAGATTAAATTCCATTATACATGTGCTCTGAGTGAATTCTGTAAGGGCTGATAGTGTAGGGCAATTACTGTTCTCCATCTAGTGACTGAAAATAAAGTAAAAACATACTAAGTAGTAAATGATTTTGTTTGTAATAGCAGTTAACTGTCTTATTACTTTATATTGTTCCTTGTGGAATTGAACATTCATGAAGTTCTTTTAGATGTTTGTCTGGAATAAATACATTTAAATGGTTCCTAGTCAAAAATGTTTGTTAGATCCAATAAAATATAACAAGTCCATGAAATTAAATTTACCATCTACATCTGTATTTAATATTAGTCTTCTATAACCTTTATGTTTTTCAGAAAATAATCGGTATAGTTATTGGGAAAACAGATGTCAAAGGCTTTCCAGACAGAAAAAGTTGAGTTCCATTTAACTCTTTGCTTCATTTTTCATCAGCTGTGGCTTATGACTACACTAAAGTATATTTAAGTGATTAAATTTTCCATGCCTGTTTAACTCCTGAAGAGCAATGGCCGTGTTCTCAGTTGTATGGTAAAGTACTCAGTTTAAGACCATATGTGTTAGG